ACAGATGTACCTCTAGTTTAAGTGGATCCTGTCCTGCACTGCCCCCTGTGCCGGTACTACCATTGCAGGACCAGGATCAAGGTTAAATCAGTGTCCAAACGGAGTTAATGCTACTTCTCTGGATGGATTTTTTTTTTTTTTTAAATTTAAAAAAACATAGGCTTGTTTCCAAATCAGATTGCCTGGGTAGCCCTGGGAATGGCTGGGCTACACAATGGATATAGGAGCAGAGGAACCAGGGAGGAGCTGCTGTAACAGCACTGTCCCCAAAGAAACCTTCTTCAGACTAGAAGGGGGTAGTCTTGATGCTGCTCAAATGAAGGCTTGTGTCATCTGCTGAGAGGCAAACACCACTTTGGTGGACCAGGTGTCATCATATAGGTTTAAATCAAAGAGCATCAAGGGGATAACGAGCTATGGATACTCCTGTTCCTTGGTGATGCAGGCTGTGGTTTCCACAGCGGCTTAAACCAGAGGCAGTGCCATCCCATTTCCCTCTTCCCTCCTTTACGCTAGCACTACGACAAATTTAATTCTACAGCGAGCCAGTTCAGGTTGCTAATCTGACAGAGAACTGAACCAAACAAAACAATGTTTTCCATCAGTTTAGTAAACAGAACAGCTCCTTACAAGTGTAAACGAGCACCAGTGCTGGCTGAAGGAAGAGGTCGAGCAACATAGCTGGGATCAAAACAGGGAGGAGAGCGAGCGTACCTGCAAATATCACAGCAGCATCAGATGTCACTGAAAAGCATCATCCCCATTCCTGATCATGCAATCCCAGTCCATGCACATTAGTGCCATGCTTCCCCATGCACAACTACCAAGTTTCACTCTGTAACTTGAGAGAGGATTGCTTTCTAGTCTAAGGAATCCCATAAAGGATTAAATATCTTACGTTCACAATTCTATGCCACTCAGTGTCACAGGAGGAAGTTTTCTGGGAGAGAAAACAAAAAAAGACATAATTTGCTGGCACAAAAATTACAGCTTGGCTTGCGTGTCCTAATCTGCACTGCATACCATGCTGTGAAAGCCTTAGCTAGGAAACTTTATTCCAGAGGCTTGTGGTTCAATGTATGCATCAGCTAAGCCACGACAAGTTGCACAGCAAGGCCATGCGGTGCATCTGCGGTGTCGGGAAGCTCAGCTACAGCTGACAGGTTCTAAAAAGGACCAGGAGAAAAAATCCTAACCCAAAAAATGGAAGCACACACTTGTTTGTAGGTGAGTCAATTCTGCCAAATGCAGTTAGCTGGATTTTGACTTCGTGATATGCTGGGTCTGTCTATTCACCAGGTTTACAGTCAAGTACATTACAGTTGCCATATTTAACATTGTAGCACAGAATTTTCATAGATGATGGCAACACAGGTAAGACTACTACAACAGAAAAAATTACTATGCTAAAAAGAAAGCTTGGTGAACAGCAGCAAGTACTAATAACTGGGGGTTTTGATAGTCATTTAAGAAATGCAAGTTTATCTGTACGTAGTACAGAGGACAGGAGAAAGTTTTGGTTTTTTGTTTTGGGTGTGTTTTTTTAAAATGTGAGAATCATGATAAGCAAACAAAGTCCAGTCACTATTTTAAACAGCTTTGCATAAACACGTGATGATCCTTGTTTTAGTTTGGGCATGAGAGGTTTAAGTTCACTGTTCCAACGGATCCTGAACTACAGGATGTCTTGCATTGTTTCCAAATAGTTAGGGTTACAGCAAAACAAGAGAACAGAACAAATTGTTACTAGCAAGAACTGGCTGGAACACGCTATGACAATTTAAGAACTTCCCATGTGGAAAAAAAAAAAAACCAAACCCACTGATTACAAAACAAAAAGTAATGGCCCTACCATTATTACCCTGGTAATGTAGGGTTTTTTCTAGAAAACATAAATACTGTCATGGATACGCTTCACAAAACTTAATCTCATGAGCCAACAAGGCTGCTGTTTTGCAGAACTCAAAACAGCATGCTTTGCTTCTATGTCAGGGCGAAAATAAAAGAGAAAACTAATTATTTTTTTTCTTCAGATGCCAGCAAGCTACAGATCTAGTTCTTTCATCTTACTTCCAACAACGTGCACTGAACCATAACATTTATTTGGTACACCTGGACATTGGCTTAATGAGAAACAGGACAAAGAAGGTAGAGAAGAATGCAGCGTATTATTCCATGTCATTAAAATTGCTGGAATCTATCTACACATACTTGCTCCACCTGAACTCCCCATCTACCCCTCTGTGCTTAGACTGTCATCGCTGGAGGCTTTACAGTGAAAAGGTACGGTCTAATGCTGTGCGTACAAATTGATTCTGTACCACATGTTGCACTTCAGAAGTATCTGAAATCCTAGAGAGGTTCATTACTGCCTGCCTTAAGATCTCTTTTTTCCAGGCTGAACACACAGGCAGCTCCTGATGACCCACGGACTATTTATGTTAAGATTCCCTGTGAAGCTATTTCTGTCTGTAATACATGCTGTTACTGCTTCTGGGCACCCCTGGGGGGTGGGGGGGTTGCTCATAAGAAATCCAGATGCTTTTCAGAGTCCAATACTGATTTACCTACGCTGACTGCGTGCACTTGGCATTTGCATCCTTACACACTACAGCACAACTGAAGAGCACTGGGAATGTAACGTGGACACAGTTACACGGCTGTGCAGAGCCAGTCCGAGTTTAGTAGAGGTAACACTGATCTGGCTCTAGTATGCAAGTAAGATTTAATCCCATCCCTGCTTAACTACTTGCGCATTCACACCGTAACTGCATCTACCAGAGTTTTCAGGACTGGCACAACAAACCACAAACACGTGGAGTGAGCCCAACTCTGGTATCACTCCTCTTGGTAAGCTCTACCCAAACCAGAAGCGTTAGGATCACATCATGCACACTAGTTTCTCTGCAAGTGCCAGGCTGGGAACAGCAAGCGATACCAGATACAGTTCCACACCAGACACGGCTGGTACAGTTTGGTTGCAGGTGCTATCTGCTCCAGGGTGTGAGGAATGTGATCATGTGTATGTGTAATACATGGGGTTTTCCCATTAGGTCAAGTATCCCCACCTGCGTAGCTCCTTTACCTTAAACAACAAAAAGCTTTGACTGAAAAAGAAAAATCCCCATCATTAGTATGAAAGGAGAACCATGAATTTTCACTTCAGGACAAAATATTAGCAAAAATGGCATTTCAGTTGCTGCAATTTTAACTTTGCTTATTAAAAAAAAGAGATGCAACATTCCCAGTTAATCTATTGTAGACAGCTTATTTCATCATCTCTCAACACAAGATGGGATGTCCTGCACTGCAAAAGCACAAGGTATAAACAAACGCCCATTGCTCTCAGAACTACCACCTGAGTTATACAATCACATACAAGCTCCAAAATTTAGAATTAAAGGCGTTGCAGGGAGTTTTTTAATACTAAATACTATGCAAATGTGCTCTAGTCATATGGCTCCCCAACTATCATCTTTTAATTTGTTTTGTTCAAGAAGTCATTAGTGAAGTTTTATATACACAAGTATCAGTAGATTCTATTTTATAGCAGAGTAAATGATGACTTAAGTCTACTCAAATTCCAGATCGTTATACAACTGGAGTATTAGGAAGAAAGGTCCTAGGAAGTTTCAGAAACTCAGCTGTCACTTGGAACAACACAGACCTTTCCAAATGTGCCATTAGTATTTGTTCTGCCAGTTGGTGCACAAAACTGCCCAGAATTCTCAGATAACCAACCCAAAACCAGAAGCAAGGTTGCCTTCATCTTATCATCTATTCTACACTATCTGACATGAGGGAAGCTGAAATTTGGAGGCACCAATGGAAATCCAAGAAGCTTTGTAAACTCAACAATTCACAGTACATTTGAATTTCCCCAACTCAGTTATCACATAAGGTCAGCATTACCTTTTGTTAAAACCAAGCACAGAATTGCATCTCCTTTACTACAATGAACTTGAAAAATACATGTTCAAGGGGCTTTAACTGTAAAGCAAAAAGAAAAAAATTAAGCAATCCCAGTTTCTGATGACTTATGAGGCCTTCCCCAAAGGTCTCAGAAAAAAAATAATCAAAGAGAATTTTGTAGTAATTAAAGCCAATATAGGAATAGCACAGCAGAGGAATGAAGATAAAGAGGTAAGTGGTATCAGCTTGGCATTCTTCCAAGAAGACTTTCCTGTCTACCCAACAGCTACAAGTGCCTGGTGGTCTTCCCTTTCTCCTCAGTATCTCCTCCCTCACAACTTCATCATCTACCTTTTTGCTGCCAAGGCTGAAAACTCTTGAGTTGCAACAGAACAAAAAAAATGCATTTTTCTTCACCTTGACTCAAGTTTTTGCAGTCTTCTCCTAACCCAGAACCTTTGAAGGAGCCAGGGGAATTCCTTGTCAGAGACATTCTTGTTGGTGAACTTTGTCTATTGGCCCCATCCAGCCCCAACGTTGTTTCTGGCACTGCTCAAAGCCTCAAAACCAGGTAGGTGACAAACAGCCAAAATCCCAAAGTACACTGCGTATAGAATCTGTTCCCCTAAATAATTAAACAGTTCTGAAGCTAACATTTATAGCAGATGTCTGTTAAATTCACTATCTGTACCCCAAATAAATCAGTCTGAAGGAATGCACTGAGAATCACAGCTCAGGTTTTTTCCTTCAACTTTTGTCCTATATCCTCATACAAATCTGAGCAAATATTATCTTAATTTCCCCAGTTAAACCAGCAATGTTACAAGCCTTTCAACATCAGGGCAAGAAGAGGACCCACGTAAATGTAAGAATTATCTCAAGACACGCACCCCCCCCCCAATCTGATATAAACGTTTACACTAGGAGGCAAATAGCTCAGATGAAAAATACAACGCAGACTATAAAATTTCTATTAAAACACAACTAAAAGGCAAGCAGTCATCACAGAAACATTCAAAGTCATCAAGTATTTTGATGAGAATTTCATAGAACTGAAAGTTAATTACATTAAAAAGAGACACCAAGTATTTCAAAAACCTCTGTTTTATTAGTACAGAGTAAAATACATCATATAGTGAACGTTGTTTTCCACACATAATCTAAAGCCATTAATAAGTGTTTTCTTTTCACCAAATATCCTGGCCAGAAGCACAGACAATGGAAATGGGAATGCTAATTAGTCTCTCTCTGCCAGAGCTACAAGGTGCACATCAATCTCTGCTTCTGTAAGGATCCTGAAAGAACAAAAAGAAATCTTAAATAGCTTAAACGATTCTTCCCCTTAAGCTCCAATATTACAACCTAATATCTACACAAATAAGTTTTATACAATGCATCTTTCAGCCCTTTAAAGTCCTCCTGCCAGGGCCACAGGCCGACATTCCAATTCTTTTTGAAAAATAAAGGAAGAATCAAAGGCACTACAGAGCAAAGAGGTAACAAATGGTAGAAAAAGAACAGGTAATTCCTCTTGAGTAATATATTTGCAAGCTGGGACCTGGTGAGAAGAATAGGTATGGTAATTAGTATGATTACTTCAAGGGGAGGACAGGTTTTCATAGCCTTCTCCCTCTGCTTGTTATCCATCCTTTCTGAAAAGGACCTAAGATGGGTAAATGAAGTTTGGCAGAAAGCTAGCACTTGACCCTTGAGCAGCCATAGAAAAGGGTAATGCAGCTCCTTTGTCCTTTCTCAAAAATGCTATGCTATTCTGTTGTCCTAAACACACACCACCAAGCGCAAAACAACCCATCATCACCACGTCAACTTTAAACACATTAGGAAGCACTCAAAAGACTGCACCTGTAGGACCCCAAGGTTTGAAGCCTCTCTCCAATCCCTACCTACCAAGTAGCTACACTATAGCAGCAGAGGACTTTTCTTCCCCATTTAGCTGTTCCTCTTTTTTTTTTTTTTTAATTAAACAAAATAAAAGCAATGAAAGACTAAGGCAGAAATAACTGAACTCCTCTGCAGCAAGCCAGACTTACCTAAAATTTAGGTAAGGCATACCTAGAGGGTCATTTTGCATTAACTAAAAAGCCCCAAAACTTACTCTCCCACATTTCATCCATACTTCCACAGCTATAGATTGTGTGGTGAGAAGGCTGTCAAGTACACTATATCTGATGTGAGATATAGCCCTCAGCAGG